TTTTTTCTATCATTAACTTCTAAGTAGTGACTTGGCCCACTGAAACTTAGCTAGGCTACCAAGTACAATACACTTTGAAAAGTTATGTACTTAAAAAAAAAAAAAAAAGTAGAGAATGATGCTACTGCACTATCATTCAACAAAAGTATAATAATAATTGTGAAAAAGAGATTTAAAGATGGGGAAGTAAACAGTGAATTGTGGAAGTACTATAGGAAACCTTAAAGCACTATGAACCAGTGTTGGTGGCTGATAATTATTGAAAGGTCAGGAGAATGCTCAATCGGAAAAGGGCTTGTACATCTATGTTTAGATGAATGGATTGAAAAAATATGGTGCATATACTCCATGGAATACTATTCAGGCATAAAAAAAAATCAATGAGATCCTGGCATCTAGTTGAAAGTGGACAGATAAGGAAGAATTACTGCTGAGTGATGTAAGTCAGGCTATGAAAGAGAGACAATGTATGTCTACCCTTAACATATACTGACTATCCACATTCGACGGTAGAGACTGGAAGACTGGAGGACATAAAAGCATTGAAAATTGTTATGGACACTGGGGACAAAGTAGAAGGAGAGTGGGAGAGGGGAAGAGTGTAGTGAAGGAAATTTGGGAGAAAAAATAGGTAAGACATTTGTGGGATGCAGAAGTGGTTTATTACCTGTTGATGACGTGTATAGTATTCTCAACTGGACTGGTTGGGGGGTGTATATCATGCTGGGTAAATTCTCTTTACTATCTAAATGATGTATATTGATTCAATGTGTAAATAATAAAAAAAAAGTCAGTACATTTTAAATTTCACTATTAATAGATATATCTATTTTAGGATGATTTAATTATATCATCTTGTTTTAAAATTTTTAAAAATTATTTTGTTTAATTTTATTTATTTATTTTAATTTGACCACAGAGGGACAGAATGAAAGAGAGACAGAGATGGGGAAAGTGAGGAAGCAGGTCCAGGACTTGAACCACGGTTGGCCATGTGAGAATCCAGTGCCCTTAATCACCATGCCACCTGCCTACCTCTGTTTTAATAATTTTAACAGAAGCTTATCATTAGAATCCTTATTTTTATCTTACCGTCATGATAATGAATACCTTTTTTTAAGAATCATTTCATTTTATTTATTAATTTTTTTTCTTTAATTTTGCTACAGAGCACATGCACTTACCAGAGAGAGAGAAAGAGAGAGAGAAAAAGTGAGAAAGCAAGCCACCAGGTTGGGGACTTGAACCACAGTCAGCCATGTGGAAGTCCAGTGCCCCAACCACCATGCCACCTGCTGGCCTCATGAGTATCTTTTTAAAGAATCTCCAAGAGAGAAGACACTTTCATGGCTACTGAGAACTAGTGATTTCAGGGGAATAGGAAAAATGAAGATTTTCCACAGATAATTCAGCCTCCAGCCCACAAACTCGCATGGTAGGCAGACTTTCAAGCCTCCTGTCTCTGTCTCTGTCCTTGTCTCTCTCTACCTCTGTCCCTGTCTTCTCATTTTTTTGTAATTTTTCCTTTAATTTTTTTTTTAAGATAAAGGAGTTTCTTAGCTTTCAGTGCCTCATTTCCCTTTATCTTGTTAATAATCCCCTCTCTCAGCCCAGGAGAGGCAAGGGAGCAGGCCTCAGAAGACACCTTTATGGCTACTGAGAACTAGTGCAAGCACGCCACATGTTTTTCTAAGTTTTGCTTTTTTTTTTTTTTTGAGAGGTTTTTCGCTATAGGGCGCGTGCGCTCGCCAGACAGACAGAGACACAGAGACAGAAAGCGAGAAATCACCCCCCAGGGGGGATGGTCACGCCGCAATCCCTTCTCCTCCATTCTCCTCTCAGGATCTTGGGCACGCACGCACACGCGCACGGCGTGAGATTTAAGCCACCGGGTCCGAGACGCGAACCGCGGTCGACTACGTGGGAGTCCAGCGACATAGCCATTACGCTAACTGCTGGTTCCCTAATTTTTGCTTTTTTAAAAAATAATTTTTTTTTTTAGTTTTTTTTCTTTTTTTTCTTGTCTATTTTTCTCTGTTTCTTGGTTGGTTGTGTTGCTGTTGTTTCTCTGTTTCCTTTTCTGCACGCTCCTGGATGCTCAGATTCAACTTCAGGTTTGGGAAGAAACACACTTTCCATCAGATGAATAGAAATCACCGCAGGACCACAAGAATTATGGGAAAGCAAGAAAATACCTCTTCTCCTAGGGAAAAGAATAACTCCTCTTTATCCACAGAGGGTTCAATGGAAATCATGGAAATGTCTGATAAAGAATGTAGAACATTCATAATGGCGAAGCTAACAGAGATGGAAGAGGAGAGAGACAATGAACTGCAGAAGAGAAAGGAAAAAGGAGCTGACAAGTTCCTGGAGGTGAGGAAATTCTTGCAAGATCTAAAAGAGGAATTACACACTTTACAAAAGAATCAAATGGAAGTGTTAGAGATGAAGACTATAATATAGGAAGTTAAAATCTCCCTTGAAAGTATTAAAAGCAGACTAGATCATACAGAAAATAGAATCTCAGATGTAGAAGAGAAAATGGCTGCCCTAGAAAAATCCACCATGAAGACTGAGAAAATTTCCCCAAATTTTGAGAATAATATACGAGAAATACAAGATACCATCAAACATCCAAACATCCGGATAATTGGCATCCCAGAAGGCAAAGAGACTCATAAGGGCATTAATAATCTATTCCATGAAATTCTGCAAGAAAACTTTCCAAACCTAGAGAGGCATTCAAAGATCAGTCCCAAGAAATACAAAGGACCCCAAATAGAATCAACAAATGAAGGTCTTCTCCAAGACACATTATAGCCAGGTTGACCAAAACCACAAAGACAAGATACTAAGATTGGCAAGAGAGAAACAGCAAGTTACCTACAAAGGTGATCCCATCAGGATAACAGCAGACCTCTCATTGGAAACAATGCTAGCAAGAAAAGAATGGGAAAATATATTCAAAGTGTTAAGGGAAAAGCAATTACAACCAAGAATATTGTATCCGGCAAGATTATCCTTCATATAGGAAGAAAAGACAAGAACATTCTCAGATAAACAAAATCTGAAAGAATTTACCAACATCAGACCAGATCTCCAAAAAGTTCTCAAGGGAGTGCTATGTCAGGAAAATTAAATATAGTCACACAGAAATAAGAGTTCAAAAACTAAGAAAATGGCCAACTTAATTGTAGGGACAAGTCTGGAGTTGAATATTATATCCCAGAATTGAATTGGGAAGATCGAACCACAACACAAGATAGATTAAGTACATGAGTCTGAACTAGTGAAATAGCATTCTGTGATTTTTGACTAAAATATCGCTACTTTTCTTCTGGGCTTTGTTGTCCAGTTTTAAGAGTTTTTGTCCTGTCTTGAACTGTCAATAGGTTTATGTACCCACTATTTGAACAGAATACTAACCTGTTTCCAGGCTTTAAGTTTTAAGCAAATTTCCTTATCAATTCAAAACTGCTTTTCTTGAAATTACCAGGTGAACGTGCTATTGGAAGTAGTTAGCTTATTTAAGAAATTGTGTGATCAATAAAAAGTAGGGGGGAAAGGAATGGATTACAACTGTAGATACCAGACCCCAGTTTTAAGAGTTTTTGTCCTGCCTTGAGCTGTCGATAGGTTCACGTACCTAGTATTTGAACAGAATACTAACCTGTTTCTAGGCTTTCAGTGTTAAGCAAATTTCCTTACCAATTCAAAACTGCTTTTCTTGAAATTACCAGCTGAACTTGCTATTGAAAGTAGTTAGTTAGATTATTTAAGAAATTGTGTCATCAATAAAAAGTGGGGGGAAAGGAATGGACTACAACTGTAGACACCAGAGATTCTGTGAGAACAGGGTGGTAAAGGGCAGAGGGTCAGTCATAGAGGTAAATATAAATATATATACATACACACACACACACACACACACACACACACACACACGTGAAACTAGAAATGGAAAATTATTGATGATAACATACATTTAGATTAAGCCACTATGTAGTATATTGTGGATAGGAAACCACTTTTGGTATGCTGTGACGATGATTAGGGGATGAATTTCTAGTTTTTTAATTTAAAAAAATGTTTCAGAAAAAAATGCATATTAGATAACTGAAGTAAGCTATATAGGCACAGCTAGGTACTACTTTATAGTATGTTCATTCTACCCAGTGAGGTTTATGCCTAAAGTCAGACATGTTCATGGATATGTATGTATCAGCTGCGCTTGCTATTGGAAATATTTAGATTTGCTAAATTCATTAGCAAATCAATAAAATGGGGGGAAATAGAAAGCAACCATGGATACCAGGGACAGTGTGGGAGGAGGGTGGGGCACAGCAGAGGGGGAGAGATAGGGAATCAAGGATGGGGAAAAAAAGCAAAATATACAGGAAACAAGAAATGGAAAATTATTTGTTTACAATAATACGTATGTTGATGTGCTTGATTGAGCCAATATACAGTGTATTCTGAATGGGAAATCTCATTTTGTATGCTGTAATGATGTATAGTGAATGAATATAAATAAATAAATTTAAATATAGGGACGAGCAGTTAGCATAATGGCCATGTCGCTGAACTCCCATGTAGTCTACCACAGTTCAAGTCCTGGACCCGGTGGCTTAAAGTCATGCTGGGTGCATGTGAGTGCGTGTCCAAGATCCCGAGAAGAGAATGGAGGAGAAGGGATTGCGACGTCTCTCTGTCTCTCGCTTTCTGTCTCTGTCTTTCTGGCAAGCACACGCACCCTGTAGCAAAAAACCTCTCCAAAAAAAAAAAAAAAGATTTAAATATATTAAAAAAAAATAACAATGAAAAAAAGCTCTAAGATAGAACTTGATTGATTTTCCCTGATCTATACCTTTGTTAACCTACCATTGTTTATAATCCATATTGATGGATTTGGCATTTATATTTAGTCTTTAAAAAGTGATATTCTGTGATAAAGGGAATAACGAACGAGTGCTCCCTTGTTGGAATTTTCCTGGTTGCAGTCTACCCTGACGTGTGCACCATCAGCCTCGTAGCAGCGAGTGACCCGAGCCAACACGCCGACAGAGTTGCTTTCTGGGATGATGTCTACGGATTCAACATGTCCTGCATGAAGAGGGCAGTTCTTCCAGAGGCTGTTGTGGAAGTCCTAGATGCAAAGGCTCTTATTTCAGACCCTTGTGTTGTTAAGGTAAGTGTTTTACTGATTTTATTTATTTTTATAACAGCATTGCCATTTTTCTTAGTTCAGTATCTGAAATTAATATATTGATTTTATATGTGACCCTTCAGACATATACTCTCTTTTTTTATCAGGCTAAAACAACGTGAGTTTATCAATTTACTAGTAGATTATATCATCCTTTTTGAATAATTTCTCTTTATATATTAAGACTTGGTAATTTTTTGCATTTTTTATTATCTATTACTTATACATTTAATCACTATACATCATTTATATTATAAAGAGATTTTACCCAGCATGATCTACACCACACACCAGGCGAGCTGAGGATGCTATACGTGTTATCAACAGGCAACAAACCAGTCTTTCACATCTGACTCTGATTGAGTAATTTATATGCACTGTGGCTTAATTAAAGCAGAAAGTCCTGCTGTTTTGTCATTTCTGCCTCTCCCTGTCCTGGTCTTATTCTAGCTTCTTGTTTATAACCAGATTTTTCATTCATGTCAGGTATTCCACAAAGTTTAACTTTTCACAGTCAGATTCCTTCCTGCCCTTTCAGATTAAAGAATGACAAGTGAATTTGCCATGAAACTAAAGCTCTACTTTGTACAGACTTCTCAGTCAATTATTCTGTGTTTCATTGCCTTATTTCTTCCATGTTAGTCTTTCGGGTTTTTTCATTTTTTATTTTTTAAGAGGTATTTAACTTTATTCATTTGTTTATTTTATTTGACCAGAGAGAGACACAGAGAAAGAGAGAGAGAGAGAGAGAGAGAGAGAGAAAGTGAGAAAGCAAGCTATCAGGTCCAGGACTCAGACCACGGTTGGCACCTTTAACCACCGTGCCACCTGCTGGTCCCCCAGTTTTTTTAAAAAAAAAAATTTTTAAAGAATTATTTTTAGTTAAACTAATTAATTAGTTTATTTATTTATTTATTTAAATTCGACAGAGTGTGTGTGTGAGAGAGAGAGAGGAAGCAAAAGTGAGAAAGCAAGCCGCCAGGTCCAGGATTCAAACCGCTGTTGGCCACATGGGAGTCTAGAACCCTTAACCACCATGCCACCTGCTGGCCCCAATCTTTAGTTTTATTGTTATTTTTTCTGTGTTGAATTTGTACAGACTCCCTATAATTTTGCAGTGAAAAATTCTATTTTCTTGAAAATTTCCGTTTGTTTCAACTAGGCTACTCAGCGTTAGGTTCAGGATATTGTCTCCTTGTTTCAATCACACTATTACATTTGTAATAGCAATACTTGTTCTCTACACACAGTAATTTGCACAAAGTAAATATTTTCTTAAATGAGTAAAGTGTTAAAAATTAGCATAGAATAATAATAATGTGAAGTTTCTCAGTAAAAGTGAGCAGTTAATATTGCATTCAGCTTTTAAGAGGAAAATCAAAAACAGCCAGCCTGATGGTTATGGGACCATTCAGTGCTGTGATACACTGATCCTAGGGATTTATTAGACTCTTTTGCTCAGAGTAGGAGTGTACGCTTAGATCCAGCTCAGCCTTCAGCAGAACAGAAAGAAAAGATTTGGAGGGGTGGGAGAATGCTAATTTCTCTCTCTAGTGATCGCTTTGCTTGACATCAAAAATGTCTACAGATAAATAGTTGAAATGGAAAATTTAATCCTGAAACACGAAAGTGTTTATTCTATTCCATTCTGTTCCTGATAACAAAAATGCCTGAATGGGTCATTTAGAAGAGCAGAGGTTTACTCGCTCACAGATTGCAGGCCCAAGATCCAGAGTCCACACCTGTGGAGGACCTCGTCATTGGCAGTCTCACGGCAATGCCAGGCATCACGTGGGGAGGGCAGAGCGGGTGTCGTGCTGTGCACGTAACCGTCTGTTTCCTTTCCTCCCTTTATAAGCTCACCTGGGTTCAGTCGGGGCTCCACCCTGATGCCTCATCACTGCCCCTTCCAGTACCTTGATCAGATCAAGTCTCCAGTCTATCAGCACCATTGCAGTGTCTCACCACATTTTAGCATCATTTCTGGGGGGACATAGTCAAACCATAGCAATGCTGAAAAAGTAGATATATACCCTTTCTTAAAAATAATTAATTTTTTTGTTTAAGTGACTATAATTCTGTTATCCACTTCTCATATATGTAAAAGGTAACCATGTTTAAATTCAAAAACGTTTTCAAACTATTTTAAATAGAACAGTGCCTCAGATGTGTAGTTGTAGAATTGCCTGCGTTAGGTTATAATCTAGTCATGGCAGTCTTCACAGCAGCCCGCTCTGGTAGACTACCGCAGTGGGAAGCTGATTCCATACACTTGCCAGAGTAAAAGGGAGAAGGATTCGAACCAGGACAGAATGAAAAAAAAAGATATTTGGCTATTTTTGTTCCCTCAGTTGAATCTTCATAGTTTTCGCTGTTTGGATTGTAGTTTTTCCTATTACCGAACAAACTTACCTTCAAGTGCAGTTACATAATTTTAAACAATGTTAAACTATTTTAAAACACTTTTTCCATTTCATTTAGATGTGTTTTCAGGTTGGTGCTTCCTATAAAAGTAGTATTGGCTATTAGTACACATAATTTAAGGCCGATGTGGCAGGTGTACAACAAGTATAAAATAACAACTATTACTTATTTGAAAGTATTTGTTCCGTGTGTCTTAGGCAAACCTTAATTAGCATGTCAAAGCCATGTTGATATATACTATTGTGCACAAGAAAGCTAAGTGAAAAATACTAATTTGACTTAAAAATTAGATAAATGATAGTGCTGGTATACTCCTTAAATCTGAAAGTAATCCCCAAAATGTACATGAATGATGAAAGTTTGTAAAACATTGGTTTATAGAAATCCTTCCTGCATAAAAAGAAGTAATGTTTATCTGGTGGAGGGTTGCTGTTTTCACTAAACTCGTCTCTCTGTTCCTTCTCGACGGCTAGCGTATAGATTGCCATACAACATCTATCGCAGATTTGGAGTTTTCTTCAGATTTTGCCCTGAAAATCACAAAGACATGCATGTGCACGGTAAGCTCGTTCATTCCACTTTCACAGGTTTCACTAGCAGAGCAGCTGATTGGCAGGCTAATGAATTAATTACCAAGGGTGTGATAAATGAAAAGGGCTATTGCCTTTGACAAGGCTATTGTTATTGCCAAGCCAGCGAACACATCTGGTTTCATAGGTGAGTAAACTCCAGAAAAGTTAGTTTAGTTAGCGAAAAAGTATTAGAAATCTCTGTTTACGTAGTGATTTTTCTTTGTAGAATCTTCATTATTTCCTACTACATAATTAACCAAGAGCATTCAACTTTATTTTCAAAGACAAAAGTTTCTATCTTACTCCTCCCAGTAACTCTTAGCACTCAGTTAGAAGGAAGTGAAATAGGTCTATTTGGTAGAATATTTTATGTTCATGTATGAAGAATAATTAAGCCGTTACTATGTTCCTTTCTATAAAGAATCAACCTGGTGTGATAGAAAAGTATGGGCCTTAGAAAAGTTAGGCAGCTTTGGATTCCCATTTGGGTCTTCTACTTGTTTCTTTTTCAGATTACTTATGTAAGCTCAGACTACTCTTAACTGCTTTAAGAAAAATGGGAAGGGGCTGGCAGGTGGTGTAGTGGTTAAGCCAACCATGTTTTGAATCCCAGACCTGGTGACTTGCCTTCTCACTTTCTCTCTCACTCTGTCCCTCTCTGGTCAAATTAAAATAAATAAATAAATAAATAAAGTCAAAATAATTTTTCTTTAGGAAAAACAGAAATAATTCTTTTTATCTTGATGACTAGTTGCATGAATCAATGAGACATAATACATGTGAAAGCACTTAAAATCTAACCACAAATGACCGATTTTTTAAATATATTTTTTCTTTCTTAAATAATTTGTAAGTAATATTTTAAAGATATTTTCTTTTACTAGGAGACTCAGAATGTTAATAAACTGTGGGTCTTGGGACTAGTAGATGGCCTCCCATGTAGTTAGCCACGGTTTGAGTCTTGGACCTGGCGATTTAAACTCATGCTGGGTACATGTGCATGCATGCCCAAGATCCCTAGAAGAGACTGGAGGAGAAGGGATTGTGGTGTGGCCATCCTCCTAGGGGGTGATTTCTCACTTTATTTGTCTCTCCAGCGAGTACACTTACCTATAGCAAAAATCTCTCCTAAAAAAACAAAACAAAACAAAAAAATCTATAGGCCTTTACATAATTAAAATATGAATTACATAGGTGGTGTCAACATGAGTATTTATATTACTTTTAAAAATATTTGTATTATTTTAAAAATTCTGACCACATCTTTAAAAGTTAAAATTTTTATTGAAAATTGTATTTTCAGACACTGTGTAAAAACAACATATAATCATGTTAACACTGATTCTTTTAAATAGTTCACATTGGCATGCAAAAAGTTTATGGCTCTTTTAAAATTGTTTCAGTTCATTTTGATCTAGTAATAAAGTTATATCCAAATGAGTTTACCAAACAATGTGCCTTGATGCTTTGAGGTATTTTTTCATTAATCGAAATTTGTTTTATAATTTTTAGAAGTTAAATAGCTAGAGTCTACAATAGATTTGTGAGTTGGGTACACCCATTACATGCATTTAATTAATAAATAAGAAACAAAATATTATCATCCCATTTATTACCCACTAATTTTCTAATTCTTCTCTTGAGTAGTTGAAATGATTTAGTCAATTAAAATCATAGATTTCCTCAGTGTTTTGGTATTAGTAATCCTTAGGACTTGAAAAAGGACCATCTTGATTAATAAAAACTGATCAAGTATAAGGGTATTCTCAGATGTTATTTTTCATATCATCAGTATTAAATAATGCTTTCAAATCTTTCTTCAGTTACCTTCACATAAATCAAGAGATGTAAAATTCTAGTGAATATGTCAAAACTGTTTTTAGTTGTATTTTTGAACTTTAGATAGATGAGTTTATTGAGTTTAATTGAAATGTTCTTTTCTAGTTCGTTATCAGGGCTCTTATTTCAGATAATAGAATCTGAATCAGCTGTTTTAAACTAAGCAGATTAATAAAAGGAATAAGATAATTCACAGGAATATTGGAAAACATAAAGAAACAGACTATATTCTAAAACAGCTCCTAGAACCATACCTTAGACCTGGCCTGCTATAAAGCTACCTCTGTCATGAAGACAAAGGTGTCTGCACCATTGCCGGCCCTGTTAACCTGACTGCCCTAGGCCCACGTGCCCGGTGTGTCACACACACAGATGGCCCCAGATGGATGAGGCCCTTCCCGACCGTCCTCTTCCCTACCCACCTTCTGCCCCCTCTGACAGTTCCTGTTGGCCAAATTCACCTTCCACATCTTCATTCCACACATCCAAGGGCTGAACTGTGTCAGATGGATCCCTAGCCACTGGTAAATTTTTTTTTTTTGAGAGGTTTTCGCTATAAGGTGCGTGCACTTGCCAGACAGAGAGAGACATAGAGACAGAAAGTGAGAAATCACCCCCCAGGGGGGATGGTCACGCCGCAGTTCCCTTCTCCTCCATTCCCCTCTCAGGATCTTGGGCACGCACGCACACGTGCCTGGTGTGAGTTCTAAGCCACCGGGTCCGGGACGCGAACCGCGGTCGACTATGTGGGAATCCAGCAACATAGCCATTACGCTAACTGCTGGTTCCCGCCAATGGTAAATTTTGTGAAGTGGTTTTAGCTACAGTAGTTTTATGCTACAGAAAGAGGTTCATCACATGTATAAAAAAATCATTTTCTATTTCCTGTTTTTTGCGATAGAGTACAAGAAGCTCTGGGTTAAAAGAAATTGTATGTATCCTTCAGTGATTTTAGTTTTATTCTGTACACTTTTAAGAGTAAGGTGAAAAGAAACAAAACAAAAAAGTCAACAGTGTGTTTAATCCAGATTATAATAGACATTTTGCTATTGAAGAATATTTTAAGTGTCAAATAGGAACGTACTGCATTTATGACTTACAAAGAGTCCCATAAGAAAAATGAATAAGAAACAAACTTACAGGGCAGGCTCCATAGGCGTGGTTAAGTGCTGTGCTTTGGGAGGCAGATCTCCCATAGTTTGAAGCCTGGCTCTGCTAGCTTGAGAGACATACCAAGCCCATATGCATACATGCCCCAAATCCTGATGGATTGGTGGAAAAAGGGCTGTGGCATGACCATACCCCTTTGAGTGTGCTAACTTTTCTCTTT